GGAGGTCAGCTTGGTTTTGGGGGGCTGTAGCCTAAGTCGGGCCGGGGGAGGTCAGCTTGGTTTTGGGGGGCTGTAGCCTAAGTCGGGCCGGGGGACCGGGGGGAGGTCAGCTTGGTTTTGGCGGGCTGTAGCCTACCTTAGCCTCTGTCTCGCCGCGATGCAGTGTGTACAAGTGGTGGACGGTGCTCTGGGAGGACGCCCACGGGTGAGTCAGGATCTGAAAGACGTGGAAGTCATGGCCCAGCGTGTCCGCAGTGACGAGTAGCATTCCTGGGGGCGAGAGAGACAGAGAGAGGCGCTGCGTTTTACACTCACGCCGATGGCGGAACCTCCAAGTCCCGACGTCGCGCTAATCTCAACACGACACGCGAAGCCCTCCGAACGACCGCGGTGTCCCACAGATGTTCCATTTCACAGTGTAAATTAACAACCCACACACTTCCCCCGATGCTGGGAAATGCACCGGTCACAGTCCTCGACTCCTCGCTCCGAGTGGCGGCGGTGAACTCTGGCGTGACCCTCTGGTGAAGCCTCTCATTTCGCCATTTTTATTTGCAGTGAGTGAAAATACAGGAACAAAACAGCGAAGGCTGTAAGCAGCACACTTTGCAAACCACACCAGAACAAACCGAAATGGACTACGCCGGGGGGGGGGGATCATTTCCCCAAAATGTATCATTGCGTTAGTGAAATAAAATTTAAAAAAAAGACGAAAGAACAAGCTCTGAAAATACTTTTATCATGAATGCAAGACTGCACCGCAAGCTCTGAATCTCACAGCCGCAATTCCACGACAGTAATTAGTAATTTTCCATCGTTACATCCCTAATGTTGAGGCTACAGTATGCTTTAATTAGTGGTGAGTCTTTATTGGGAGGTTTGTCAGATGGAAAAGCGGGGTGGGGGGGGGGGCACATGGCATGTGGATAAAAGTCATCGGCACCTCACCACGTGCCAGGAGTCGCTGCAGGGAAGCCAGCGCCGGGCCCCGCAGAGGGGAGAATGGGTTCTGTGCACGTTCACAGTTCTTACAACTTTTACAGCTTCTCAGTTTTCACGCCAGCGACGTTCGACCCAAGATGGGATGCCATCCTTCTCTGGGCGGGGGGGGGGGGGGGGGGGGGGGG